GGAGCCTTATTTTTTGCCATTTCCTTCAAAGCAGCCTGAACTTCTTCTTTCATCACCATAGGCTCTTGCTCATATGTTGTTTCATGAAATTCTTCTGTCTACCAATTCCTTTTGGTACGGTGATTTCGTATATTCTTTCCATCTTCTTTTAATACTTCCTGGATCATTTAACATTCTGCCTAAAGTATCCTTGATTTTAGCAACTTGAGGTTTGAATTTGTTCTTCAGTTCCTTGAGCTTAAGAAATGCTGAGGGAGTTCAGCTCTTTTGATTTTCTGGCTCCAACTCCTTGCACATTACATTGTAATATTTTACTTTGTCATCCCGTGCTGCCTTTTGAAATCTTCTGTTCAACTCTTTAGTATCTTGAATTCTTCCTTCTCTTTTGGATTCTTTGTGCTCCAGTGCAATTTTCAGAGTCTCTTCTGACATCCATTTTGGTCTTCTCTTCCTCTTCTGTCTTTGCAATGACAGTTTGCACTCTTCCTGGATGATACCCTTGATATCCTTCCACAACTCATCTGGTCTTCACTCACTAGTGTTCAAGTCCTCAAACCTATTCCTGAGATGGTTCTGAAATTCGGGTGGGATAGACTCAAAGTCATATTTTGGTTGCTTGGCTTTGGTTTAATTTTCCTCAGCTTCAGCTTGAACTTACATATGAGTAGTTAGTGGTCTGTACAACAATCAGCTTCTGGCCTAGTTTTCACAGCTGATGATGAATTTCTCCAGCAGTTCTTTCCACAGATGTAATCGATCTGATTCCTATGCATACCAAGCTGGGTTTAGTAGGGGTCATGGTACTAGGGATATTGTAGCTAATGTTAGATGGATGTTAGCTGAAAGCAGGGAATACCAGAGGAATGTCTATCTGGGATTCACTGACTATGCAAAGGCATTTGACTGTGTGGATCATAACAAACTGTGGCTGACTCTGAGAAGAATGGCAATCCCAGAACACTTGATCGTGCTAATGCGAAACCTATACTTGGACCAAGAGGAAGTCATCAGAACAGAGCAGGGTAACACTGCATGGTTCAATATTGGGAAGTGTGAATGCCAGGGATGCAGAACAGATTATCCGGGAAGCTGGGCTCTATGAGGAGAAATGTGGGGTCAAGATTGGTGGA